TGAATATTTTCATTGAAATTTTCAATTTCTGGATCAACATTACAATTCTGTCAAACATGTTTAAAAATATCAATTAAATTATATATCATCAAAAAATATTTATAATTTTTAGTTTTCCGATTTATTATTATATGAGATCGACTGAACTTAAATAAATAAAAATTTTAAGTATTATATATTGTACGTACCTGCCACAACAGTAACTGTTCATGAAGTCCTAACCTGGGATTATTTTCCATGATTATTTATGAAATAATAAGTCTACAATTTTATTTGATCAGCCAAACCAAATTTGAATGATAAAATATCTTGGCGCTGTTTTTATATAACTGTTGCACTACAATATTATGCACAAAAACTCACAAATAACAAAAATTATTTGTAAACGTGTTATTTTCAATCATTTACGTTATTCTCCTATTGAAACACAGTGTTACCTTCGTGCTCTGCAGTTATAAATTTCAAAACTTTTTGTACACTAGCGCTCTTGTGGATGAATTCCAAAACCCTTGCAAATTTTTTCATTCTCCGCACAACGCTGTACTTCGCCTAACCCTATAATGCGAACTGTACCATATCATTGAAAAATCGATAATTAGTGTTTTATTTGATTTCCCGTGATAATAAAAGGAGCCTTTCAAGTGAGTATATGGAAAATTTTCAATTAATGCGCTGAGTTACAATCGGTTTTAATAAATTATGTAAATTATGCACGCTGGTTACGTCAAATTATTCATTTGAATGACAGAATATAACCTTACTGCAAATGTTGTATTGCATTGTACATTATTATTTCATTCTACATCTATACTATCATTCATTCTACAGCTTTAATTTTCATTAATTTGAATAGTTCTGTATTTCAGAGATGTCTCAACAATGGGCTGCTGTTCATGTATATGGAGAGACTGGTAAAAGAAAAATTCAAAGCGTGACACTCGATAAGGTTGAGGATTACGAACAACGACAGCTCAGAGGAGAAAAGAACTTTTGGACATTGATTAAAGATCCAACAACAGGATGCGATAAACGATTAGTGACTGAAGTCTTGTGTGTAGGCAATTCTCGTGAGGAAGTGGAAAATAGATCAAAAAGACCTCATCTCAGTAGCAAAAGATATAGTGATGCCTTTCATGAGATAGATAATGAAAAGCAACAAAAGGAAGTCAATGACTTGGGTGAAAGTGTTGCTGAGAATGAAAGTGTATCTGTGAGTGACAAGAACCATCAACCAATTACTTAAATTGCTCTTCGCTTCGATGAAGTTGAGGAAGATATTTTTGCTGACCTGGGCATGGACATGTTTTCTGATGATAAATTTGGTGCTGCTGCTGTCAACACAACCGCTTTTTCAAATTGTTTTGATGGAAATAGTAATGAAACTCAAACAATCAATGAAAATGTTATTATTGATGATTCAAGTAATGCTGTGACTATGGAAAAAAATGAACCAACTTTGAAAAATAAAAATAGTGTTAAAAAAAATACGGTTGAAAATACTAGTAATCAAAACAGTGATTTATCAAAGACTGTCGAAAAACTAAAAGAAGCTCTTCAAGGCCTAATGTCAAAACTCTGAACTTTTAAAACGATTAGAAGAATCCAATGCCGTAATAAAGGAACAGCATAATATGTTACTTCAAAGAGAAAAACCACGTGCATCAAAAAATTTATTCAACATCTCAGATGACCAGGAGCATGATAACTCGGTTTCAGAATCATGTGAACTATTGCCTGTCGAGCACGCACAAAAAGTTGCATACAATAAAGTTCAAGAGGCTGAAAAGAGAAAATCAACTGAATCACCTAAAGTGCCAAAGAAAATAAAAAAGTCTCCAGAAAAGATTTGAGCCCCAAGAAAAAGACTAAAAAAAATACTAAAAAGAATAAGAAGAATAAAAAATCTAAACAAAATAAAAAAAAGCCTGTATCGTTTGATCCTAAGGATTACGCTGAATATGAAAAAGTATTTAGTGGTCAGTTTACAGAGTGGCAAAGTTGTAACGAGGAAACAGGCGAATCAATAAAGAAAATTCATTTATTGTGTGGAGTTTCGGTTACAGTCGATGAATGGAACGATATTTTTAATATAGATCTTAGCCCAAGTCAATTCGTACAAAAACTCTCTGTGGCCATATGGACTGAAAAAATTTTGAAAAAAAGAGCCTTGGATACTACGCGCTTCAAACAGAATTCAAGTACATCTCCCAGAAAACCACTTACACCACGAAAAAGAACAGCATTACATGTATGCTACTTGAAATTTCTTAATTTAAAATACCCAATCTTGGATCCTAAGAATGTAAAAACGGAGAAAGATAAAAAAAAACTAAATTAATAAAGAAAGAAGAGGGTAATTTAAATAAATACTTGGGTAAACATATCTATAAATTAGTCTCTGCTGAGATGAAGCAGAAATCCAGTAGTGATGAAGAAGATGAAGATTCTGCAGAATCAAGTCCTGATTCAAAATCTGACTTCAATTCTGATTCAAATTCTGATTCAACATTATAATTGGTAATTGGTTTGCATTTCGAAAAGTAATAACATCATTTTTCATAGTGATAAATATTTTTTTCTTTTTCAGAAGCTTCATAAGATTACCGACTGTACGGCTGTACGAAAAAACATTCAAATGTAGTAACAGCGGTGAAAATAGCAGAAGCATCACTACATAGAAACTCTTTTTTGATACTACAATATAATTACAATATTTTTTATACTTATTTAATACTACTATAGAGTTTAATAGTTTTTTCATATGATAAAAGTCATAATAATATTTCTTTAGGTTATTGAGTCATGAGTACATAATATTTTTTTAAGTAAATAAGATTAAAACATGATAATTAGTATAATTAATTATGGAACTCATTTCATTTAGTCAATTTGCAGTATTGTAAAGAATAATTAAGACCTTACAAAAGGTCATATTAATATTTAATAATTTTGTTTAAATTTCTTTAGAAATTATAAATACAAAGTTCCTGATACGATGTTATGATTGTAAACAATTAATATATTATTTTGTGACAGATTTATAATCCGAAGGTAATGGATTCCTACCGCCTTATAGATTTTAATAAAGAATTTATATGTATTTGTTATCAAATTGTTACGATTAAACAATCGAAGGTAGTAGTTCCTACCGATTTATAAATTTTAATAAAAAATTCAAATTGTTACTATTAAATAATCGAAGGTAGTAGTTCCTATCGATTTATAAATTTCAATAAAGAATTTAACTATTTTGTTCGATAACAATAATTATTTTATTTTAAATATCAATAAATTACATTAAAAAATGCATCATTATTACAACATATGCTTCAAAATTCGTAAGAAAAATTCACGACTTTCCGCATGATATTCACAATGATGCCATTGTGATATCACCGGGACATCACCAGGATATCATTAGCATATCACCGATGATATCCCTATGATGTCACAAATGATATCCTGGGGATATCCCGATGATATCAAAAGTGACATCATTATTCTAAGCCGGGGAGGATCAATTGAGGTATAGGAGGAGTGTGAATTGAGGAATAAATGAGGTATAGGAGGAGGGTAGGAGGAGGAATAAAGAGGAGGTACGGGAGGAGGATCACTTGAGGAGCAGTTATGAGGATCAAAAAACACGTAAAAACAACACTTTAGAGGCAAAAAAACACGGTAAAATGCTACTTTTCAAAAATGAGGATCATTGAGGAGGTTGAGGAGGTATACCAATAATTGCGAAAAAAAAATTTTTCCTTAGCATAATATGTATATAGGCAGATATATATTCAAGAAGGTGCTGTTTAACCCATATTTTTTCATTTCGATTCTTGTCATTTGATCCTAAGTTAACTTGTTCAAACATAATTATAGTTCTCATAAGATTCAAAGAAAATTATGTATTGTTGTATTGTCGATAAGAAGATAAAAAAGTACCAAAAATTAGTAATAAAAATTTGTTCATTTATGAGATAAGTATTTACTTTTATAATCGGTTAAAAATAAAAAAGTATTACACTTTAAGATTGTATGTTATGTTTGTAATTTGAATAATTATATAATGATTAATTATGTAATAATGACAAATAAAACATTTCGATAATAAAACTAATAGTGACCCTTATTGCATCTACCAATATATTGGAATATTAGTATTAATTTTCATGGTAACTGAAATATTACTTTTTTTTGGATAAATATTAAAAAATAAAAAAAAAAAATTAGTAGTAACATTAAAAAATTTTAAATATTTTCGAATAAATTTGAATAAATTTGAATAAATTTGAATAAAAATGTTCCAATTCATACCAAAAATATTTGAAATTATTTAATTTATTTTGAAATAATTAAAAAAAAATTTTTTATGCAATAGTATGACGAAAAATGTCTTTTTTCGCACATTTTTTAGTGCGCAAAAAGCGTTTTTGAGCACTTGTGTGCGGTAAAATGCCCCATTTAATTTCAAATTGATAATTGCTATGCAACATAGTAGTAACACACTTGTCATAATAAAGATTGTGATTGGCTGTGATGATGAATTTACGATTAATGAGTTATTTGTGATTTGTCATTTATTAGGTCACAAAAATTCTTAAAGTCAATTAGGATTTGCTGTCTTTGACCAAAGTATTTAAGTCATTGCGGTTTAGCTGGAAAAGTTTAAGAATTTGCCAAACTTTAGTTGGCATTGGTTCGTATATATGCATAAGTTATGCCCTGAAACCGGATTTTTACGGTAATATAAATAAGTTCACGCAAAACCATAATTTTATGGGTTATTTTAGACTACTGTGAATAGAGAGTCTCGTATAATATTTTTAGGCATTTACTTGATAATTGTAATTCTATTTTTGTGTAATATAATCCATAAAAATGACTGAATCTGTTAAGCTGGCGTATCTAGCATAAATAATTTTTGAAACGCTAATGCCAAATGCGCATCAATATGTTACATATTTTTTAGATCTAGAGCTCTGCTCTTGATAATTGTTATGGTTTTAAAACCAAAAATACTTTCGTTATAATATTTATTAAGAAAAATTGTTGGAATAATGGGAACTAAATTTGCATCATGTAAGTAATTTGAAAAAATATTTGCATATTCATTGTGTAGAATTCTGAAAACATGAAAAATGATTAGATTCATACGAAAGCTAAAATTTTTCTTTAACGTTTGAAAACATGTCTGTTTGTTTTTATTTAAAACCAGGCTGAGTTGATCTCCATGATTTATGTTTTAAGACTCTTATTTAGTTATCAAACAAAATAGAATCTGGATAACTCCAGAAGCCGATAAGTGTATGAATATTTTAATATTATCATGAAACATATTGTTCAGAAGGAAATTTCACATTGAATTTAAAAATTTTAACACTTTTTCGCATATGATTATATAAACTTAGAAAAGACATTATTTTTTGTTAATGAAGAATACAGTTGAAAAAAAATTAAAACTTTTATAATTTTGATGTATAACTTGCATTAATTCTTAGATGTTATTGATCTCCCTGTTAGAACTAAATGAAACGTAAGAACTTTTTTAAAATTGTAACACGAGGAAAAAATGTGTATGGAAAAACGTATAAGATATCAAAAATTGTGATCGTTCGTATATTTTTTTAAACTTTTTTTAACATTTTATGATTACTCACAATGTTTTTACGTCTTCGATCTATGAATTTATTTTTGCGGGCGATAACATAACATTTGAATCCTAAAAACATAATATTTTGAATAATTTTTTATATTTATCTTTAGTATGCTGTCATGAATCTTTTAGAAAAGTCTATTTCTCTGAATTTTTTATATTTTTGTAAATTCTCTAATTAATAAGGCAATTGAAATTATTATTTCGATCAAACACGAAAAAGGATCTTAGAATCAATTATTTTGAAAGTGCTTCATGAGCATACTAAAGGTAAGAAACCGCTGCCAATTTATTGTCAAGAAGCTTCCTTTAAAGATGGTTTTTTCTTATTGTTAACATTAAAAAAAAAATACAATTTCTTTTCCTGCCTTGTGATAGAGAAAGAGCAAAGGTTACTTTAAAGAATTCAGGTAAAGACCAGTCTACAGATTTTGTTATAGTATCAGAACAAAAAATAAATTTTATGAAATTTTTTTTGAAGATATAAAAAAAAAAGTTAAAGAAAGAAAGAAAAAGTGTGTTGAGTATTTTTTCAATTTATCCATGATTAAATTAAGTTGGAAATATTAAATATCATATAATAAACTGAAAAAAAATTTTTTATCAAATTTAAAAAAAATTTTCTTTTTAAAAAAAATTTTATTTTTGCAAAAATTCTTCTCCGTCAATCGAAAAAAAATGTTATGGGCTTCATTTTAGTTACAGTTTGACAAGAAATGCAATTTAACTCAACACCATTCTCTCGTACCGTTTTCCAGATAATGCTCTACACGCGTTACACACACACACACGTTACACATACACACACCCAAAAAAAAAGGTTTTAAGAATTCAATCTAGCTTACAAATATGTTAACCGTTAACCAAATTGCCCTACAAGGTCTGGTTCAAAAACTCATATTCGAACCCATCACATAGCTTCCTCTATGGATACGCTCGTGCACTAACCTCACTTCGCGCTACCAGAAAGTGCGACTCATGACTCGGAAAAAGGGTCATAAATTTGAACTTAACACAGAGCTATAAAATGTTGTATGATACTCGTGCCATGGGGACACTTTTCGGCCCAGCTACTTATGGCACTTGTATCGTGAAGTACTATTTTGCATTTTATAGGTATGATAAATTTTCATTAAAAGACAGATTTTAAATGCTTTATAAAAGTTTCTGAAAATTGATACAGGACATTTTTTTAAACTGTTATCTATAAAATAATAAGCTAATAAATAAGCCGTGGTCAGTTTTTCAAGTCTTAAATGAATATAAGGCGTCTTAATTGAGCCAGACAGTCATGGAATCAAATTGATCAAAAATTGGATGCTGTTGATTTAAAAAAAAGCGGTTTCTGGCTTCAAAAAGTGCGTTCAAATATCTGAAAAAAAAGTGAAAAAATTTTAGAAAAAGTTTTTGCATTCTAACGCCTTATATGAATTTTCAAAATTGTCAATGATTTTTTCTGAAGGCCTGAAGCACTCAAAAAATCTGAAAAAATTCAAGGTTGTTTGAGTTGTTGAATAATATTCTTGTGAATTTTTTCAGATTTTTTAATCGCTTCAGAAAAAATATAGATAGTGTAACATAAATAATTATGGTAACACAATTATTATGTATATTTGGCCTTGAATAACCGATTGTTTCGAGTCCACCGAATTAACGTACAATAACTCAGGAAATCATTGTGCTATTTTATATTCTCTCTTATGTGGATAATATTATATTTGTTGGGAATAGGATGTCAATTCAACAAAAGCAAAACTAGAACGTTCATTGCTTCTGTTACCATGACTAAGCATTAGGAAACATTTGATTGTATATAATTAGTCTCAATATAAGAAAGAATAACTAAGAAAAGAAAAGTGATTCTTATTCTAAGAAGAAGAATTTATTCAAACTTAAACACTTACATTGTCGAACCTATTGAACTTGTCCTTGACACAGAGAGAACTGGGTTCTGTGAACCTTACACTTTGAACGTCGGAGAACGAGAGAGAAGGACTTGATCAATCATCATCAGTAAGAGCTCAATCATCCTTTCCAAAAAGTGAAAGGTTTTCTTACTGGTGATTGTAGCGCCACTATATTCGTCTGTATCAAGTACTGAAGTGTTTGATTCAAATTCAGGTTCATATGATAAAACAGTCACTGTTTTATCGTACAATTTCATAATTTATTATTTATTATTATTATTAGCATTTATTTTATCTTAGACAAAACAGAAGATTTCATTATGATTGAATTGAATTATTATTATTAATCATTCATACCGTGTGTAATATTATCACAACTTCGAGGCTGCTGATCATACTAATCGTAGGGTTGCATATGTAAAGGCGTCGCTTTAGAGACTTGAGTAATCTTTCAAGCGACGTCCCATTGCATAATACCTCATTTTACTATATGTCGTAGCGACATTACAATAGAAAATGGACGTTTATAGGGGAAAAGGGGGGTAGAAGGGGGAAGGGGGTCCTAAATTTTGGGTTTGGCACTTTTTTATCATGTACTATAATATACCAAAAGCGCGTCAAGATCGGTGACATACGTACGGACGAAAATTTAAAAAATTATTATTTTGACCCATTAGTTGTTTCTAATGCCCTATAAGTTATAGCTTAAGTAAATACGTTAAAATACAAATATAAATAAATAAAAAAAGCGCAACATTGCATATTATACCATTACATGGTATTGTTAAGAAGTTGTTGAATCTCACTCGAAGCCATAAACATTGCATTATTGTCAAATCATAACGTTTTAAAGCACATAATTTTAATACTAATGGACATTAGTACTTTAAATCATTGTCTCAATGCGAGTACAAGAGGTCTGATAATTTCTTATCGAAAAACTTTTTAGTGTCAAATTTAACAATTTAAATACCTAAATTGAGTTAGTTTTTATCCTTGAGATGACATGTCCATGGGACATGTTAACTGAGTGTTCTGAGTCCCAAAAAAATTTTTAGAAAGATCCATGACCCTCAGGTGAAAAGATCTCCTTGTGAGTATCTAAATCTGCCCAGCTCGTTCAATTTTTTAAATTTTTTCATAATTTAATCGTAAGTAACCGAAGTAACCATGCTCATCCAACTTATTTTGTTTTCGATAAGTATTAACAAATGCTCAAAGCTTTTTAACTCCATTCCAAATCCAACAACATTATATATTGACTTTGAAATATTTTAACATAAAAAATATCTTGAACTGGGATAAACAAGTGTTCAATCATGTAAATAAAAAAACATGAATATTGAATGTTAACATTGAACTTTTTATATTGGATTAAGATTCATAGGATTTATACTAGAGGCAACCCCAGTTGTAGAATGCTGAGCAAATAGAAAATTTAAATTCAATATAACAACCTAGTTGCTGACAGGACTGTTGCCTTGATTTTTCATTCAGATGCATACGCAGGATTATTTCCGTTAATTATTATTAATTAATAATATAATTAACAATATAATTAATAATATATTAATTATCATTAATTAATATTATATTATATTATTGATATTCTTATGAACAATATGCAAACGATGAAGATATGAGTAGTTATACGAATGGGTTATTTTGTGTGTTACCTCCCACTTTCCCGACTCCGCTTTCACGACAACCATTTTCACGACAAGTATTCTTTCCGACGTCGATCATAAAGAATAATGACAATGAATATGTAATAACAAATTTATTAACTTAAAAAATGAAAGTATCTATCAGAGATTTATAGTGTGAGCCAATGAACGAAGATATTTCTCTGTCGAAGATAGTTTCATGCTGAGCAATCCATTTTAGTTTTGGTGCTCTTTTTATAGCGCGTCCTAATCGTATCTCTGCTATGCATATCTCCACATCGGCCTGTTATTTTTGGAACTCCCTCAGTGCACTGTACAAGTCTGGATGGTGTTTGCCGACAATTAACCCAAAGCGATTGTGCCATCCTTCACTAACGTTATTTGTTTTATGAGTCCCTGCTAGCACAGCATCATACTGATTCCATAACTTTATAGGAGAACGTGGAGGTGTAGCTTTCTTAGGACGTCTTCCTCGAACTGCTGGAATGCCAATAACATAGTACTCGGAGAAGTAATTGAAGACAGTCTTCAGTGCACTTGGAGCTTCTTTTTTAAAAGCTTTAAATGTTGGCAACACATCGTCTACGGGAACATAAGCTAGGGCCATCATCATATGTACAAAATTTGAAATACTTGTGAAAATGGTTGTCGGGAAATTTTATTCGGGAAAATGGTTTTCGTGAAATTGGATTCGGGATTTTCGATTGTCGGGAAAAATACTTGTCGTGAAAATGGTTGTAGTGAAAGCAGAGTCGGGAAAGTGGGGGAGGGGGGGGGGCTATTTTGTGAGTACGAGTGCTGGTTACGCTTGCACGAGAAGAGAACTGTTTCACGCAATTTCTGGGGAAAAAG